GGCGGCGCGACCCGCTCCGAGGCCTGCGGCTTCGGCCGGGCCCGGGCGGCCTTTGTTCGTTCGTCCCTGGGAGGCTGCGGGCCTCGCGCCCCGGGGCCTGATCCCGCGGCACCCGCTCGGTGGTGTCTAGCGACAGGGGAGGGGAGAGCCCGAGAGGGCCCCTCCAGGACCCCGGCTTGTACAAGCAGCCCGCGACGGCGGGCGCCCCGGCCGGTTCCGGGGGGCTGGTCCCGGGACGCGGCTGGATGCCCCCAGGGGGCTGGTCCCCTCACTGAATTGGATGCCGGGGCGGGCTGGAATCCCCCGGGGCGCTCCTCTTTCGAGTTTGAGGCCGCCTGTGCACGACGGCTTGTCCGTGGCTGAGCCGTCTTCCTCTTCACCTTGAACGCCGAGCGTCCTGCTTTGATTGGAACAAGACTCGAACGTTAAAGCGTCTGGCCAGCCGGAAAACTTTTTTAGGATTACTCCTAGAGAAACGCACGCTTGGTGGCTGTCCAGGCCTGTTTTGAAAACGAGCCCTTGTGGCGGCCAGGGCAGCCTTCGAAGCCTTTCGCAAGCTCCGCGTCCAGGCGGGTCCTGGGGGCGGGAAGAGAGAAGGTGGCACTTGCGCTGAGGTCCCTGAGCCCCTGAGTTGGCTAGCAGTTCGCGCGTTGGGTTGGCCTTTTCCCCTCCAGGAGTGGGTCTCACCCGCCCCCGTCTCTCCACTGAAGCCCTGGGGCCAGTGTGTCCCGGAATTGGGAAGAGAGCTGCTCCCTAGACGAGCCGGCCGCCACCCGACCCACATTGGCATGTGTGCAGAAGGTGGGGTTGCCAGAACTGCAATTGTGGGTCAGGTTCCGTCACCAAATAGGTTTTTTGCCCAACTTGGGAACGTCCCTTTAATTTTAGAGGTTCCTTGACTGAAGAGGCTCACAACGAATCTGTGGAGTGGCGGGCTCCCCTAATCCCCTTTGCTGAAAGCTGGGAGCATTGGGCTTGTCCGAGGTGAGCAGCTCGGGAGAACTGCAGTCCTGGCTGGAGAGTCACGCCTTCGCGCTCTGGCTTCTCCCTGTGGACTTTGTGGCCCACTTAGCCTCAGTTTTAGGTATTCAACGGCTGGAGTCCCATTTAGTCCTCCCAGCATTACCAACCTGTTTCTTCACATGGGCTCACTCCTCTCGGCTAAGACTTGCCACACCCCCTCCCTTTCTTGCTGTATTCCAATCTGAACTGCTCCCCTAGGGCCCGTCCCCACCCACCCTCAAGTTCTCAGCTCTGTCCTTACTGCTGGTATAGACAGCAAAAATACCCCCTCTCAAGAGTCTCCATGCAGTGCTGCTCACTTCCTCAAAGCCCAGCACAGTGCCTGGCATGTGGGATCCAATGAGGGAATAAATGTAAAGCGTTGCAGGTTGAGTAATCCTTATCCCAAATGCTTGGAGCCAGTAGTGTTTCAGATTTTAGAATTTTTGGCTTTGGGAATATTTGTATACACCAGTTAAGCATCCAAAACTAGAAATGCTCTAATGAGTATTTCCGCGGAGAATCATGTCTGCATTCAGAAAGTTTCAGAGTTTCAAAGTTTCAGAGGTTGGAGATCTTTGGATTTGGGGTGCTGAGCCTGTACATTTAAAATGTTCAAAACCCCAATTTTTGAGTTGCCCAAGTTTAAAAAATGGAGCATAATTGGATAAGTGAGCCAATACTCAAAACTAGCATGTATGCTAATTCAGAATTTAAATTTTTTTTCTTTTTTTTTGAGTTGGAGTCTTCTCTGTAGCCCAGGCTGGAGTGCAGTAGTTCTGCTCGACCTGCAAGGGCTCAGACGATCCTTCTGCCTCAGCCTTCCAAGTAGCTGGAACCACAGGTGTGTACCACATGCCCTACTAATTTTTCTTTATTGTAGAGATAAGGTCTCGCCAACTTGCCCAGACTGGTCTCGAACCCCTGGACTCAGGCAATCCTCTCGCTTCAGCCTCTCAAAGTGCTGGGATTATAGACGTGAACCACCATGCCCAGCTCAGAATTAACATTTTCTTTTTTTTTTTTTGAGTTGGAGTCTCACTCTGTCGCCCAGACTGGAGTGCAGTGGCCGCTCCCAGCCACCGCAGCCTCGACCTACTGGACTCCGGCGATCCTTCCACCTCAGCCTTCCGAGTAGCTGGAATTACAGGCGCACACTACCACGCCCAGCTGATTTTTTTATTTATTGTAGAGATGAGGTCTGGCTGCCCAGGCGGGTTTCGAACCCGCGGGCTCAGGCAATTTACTCACCTCAGCCTCCCAAAGGCGCGGGATTACAGGCTGAGCCACCGAGCCCGGCTAGAATTAATATTTTCAATACAATACATACTATCACCTCCACACTAAAAAAATCAATGCAGAAATCCTGATTTCCCTTCATTTCCACTAGTAAACAGTCTTGTATGTGGGTAGCACTTTATAGATTATTGAGTGTTTTACTTTTAGTTATCTGTGAAGTAGCCAGGAATTATAATTCTTACCAGTGAGAGAATGGTCTCTTATTAAGACGTTTATCTTTGTCATGACTTAGTCAAAAGAATTGATGTATGGATTTCATAACTGTGCAGTACCAAACTGTTTATCACTCTGTCGCAATTTGATGGCCCTTTGGAATATAGCCCTTTTCAGTAGTTGCTAGTAATTTAGAGTTCAGCTTTCTTAAACCTCTCCACAACTCCCAGCTTGGAATGGGTTTTTAGAACATCTAAATTTTGGGAGGAGAGGCAGAAGTGAGACTATTGCCTGAACCCGCAGGTTCGAGACCAACCTGGGCAACATGGCGAAACCTCATCTCTACAATAAATCAAAAACTTAGCTGGGCATGATGGCACATGCCTATGGTTCACCTACTTGAAAGGCTGAGGTGGAAGGATCACCTAAGCCTAGCAGCTGGTCAAGGCTGCAGTGACTGTGAGCATGCCACTGCACTCTAGCCTGGGTGACAGAGTGAGACTCCAACTCACAAAAAAAAAAAAAAGTAAAGTAACTATATGGTATTTACATTGTGTTAGGTATTATAAGTAATCTAGCAATGATTTAAAGTATACAGGAGAGCTGGGCTTGGTGGCTCAGCCTGTAATCCCGCGCCTTGGGAGGCTGAGGTGAGTGGA